TTTTTAGGATTTTATTTTTCCATTATAATATAAATTATAACATTGACCTGTTTTGGCCAAGTAATCTCAAGTAATTTGTTGTTTCTGTACATATTCGAATTGCTTGCCTTTTTTTTTTTAAATCGTTTTAAATAAATGGCTTTTTTATCAACAAAAAAATATTTTATTCTAATACTCATACTTGGAAATTTGCATTGATAGTTCTCAACCTTTAAACCATGTGTGAAACCAGTCCTTATTCATCTTCCTTCATCTACTTTTATTATCTTCGAGGTATATAACTTTACAAGTTAAAATATTTCTAAGTTAATGTTACTTTATCTATATAACTTTATGAGCTCCGTCGACTATAATTGTTTAATCGTTTTTATCATTTTCAAAAAATTAAAAAATAAATAAAAATACGTAAACTAGCCCAAAATGTTTCTAATTATGTGCCGACTAGTATCCTTAAACATAAAAAGATTTATCAAAGATAAGACCAAATTACCAGTTCAACATATTTTTGTTACAATCAACATTCACTTCCGTCTTTGTTTTTTCTTGCTTTCTGCATATGTGGTGCGTCTCTTTCAACTTAAATATGGTCATACGCTAAAGAAGTGTTCAACAAAGAATTGTCATTGATGAAAGATTTTAATGTTGCATCCCCGCGTTGAAGGTGACAACATTGCAATCGACATTTGAAACTTGAAAGCAATTTAAAATCTGATATAGGCTTTTGGGTTTTTTGGTCACCTTCACGTAGAAGTGTAAGAAGAGCCCACTTGGACTGTTAGACAAAAGCGCAATATGTTTGAAAACTTTGACGCGTCACGTCAAGTTGGCCATGCAAGTTCAATAGAACACAATCCTTAAAAGCCTGCAAAAAATGGTATTTGATTGAATAATAAGTGAAAATTGATTAGAGACGTGCTGTCAAGAAGGTCATGTTGGGAAATTATTTAATTTGTCACGTGGCCCAACATATGTAATTAATTGTGTATAAAGTCTATCTTAAAGTTATGCTCAAAATTAAAGTAATCTAATAAAGAATTAAATAATTGGGCTTTGGATATCTAAATAAAGTGTGAGCCAAATTATATGTGTAGAGACCGGATCC